CCTATGCACAAGTGCAATGAAATGCTTATTTACATGCATGCTCCAATGCAAAGAAATTAAAGGAATCACCAAGAACAAAAACACTGAACAGCTGCAGCAACAAGTTAAATATCATACAGCTTAAAAAAATGAATTTCATTATAGTTTGTTTTAAATTCCCATTGGCTATTGCCACCTTCAGAAATACTGTAGAACATTTTACTTTACCTATATTTTTCACTCTTGCTGAAAAACGTGAAAGCAAAATTCTGTTAAAAAATATTTATTAACTTAATATATTACACAGTAAGACTATATTAATTATCATATTAATTATTAATGGGAAATTAAAGCTAATTAAAAATACTATTTCAATTAGAGAGACAACATATTTTATAATTTATTGATTAGATTATCTCCTTTAGAATTTTGCTTAAATGAGGAATCAGCAGTGCTTAAATCAAAATTATTTCTGATCCATCTGAAACACAATTTAATGGTAAACTCAACTTACAATGCTAAATCAAATTCTTTACACTTATATAGTGCATTTCCGGATACGCCCCTCAAAGCGCTTTACAAGAAATGGGGACTCCCCATCCCCCACCACCAGTGTGCAGCCCCACCTGGGTGATGCGACAGCAGCCATAGTGCACCAGTACGCTCCCCACACACCAGCTCTCAGTGAGGAGGAGAACAGAGTGATGAAGCCAATTCATAGATGGGGATTGTTAGTTGGCCCTGATTGGTAATGGCCAATGGGAAATTTGGCCAGGACACCGGGGTAACACCCCTACTCTTTTCAGGAATTGCCCTGGGATTTATAAGGACCACAAAGTGTCAGGACATCAGTTTTAAATCTTATCTGAAGGACAGTGCCTTTTGACAGTGTAGTGTCCCTGTCACTATACTGGGGCATTAGGACCCACACAGGCTGCAGGGTGAGCGCCCCCTACTGGCCCCTCTAATACCTTTTCCAGCAGCAACCTTAGTTTTTCCCAGGAGGTCTCCATCCAGGTACTGACCAGGATCACACCTGCTGAGCTTCAGTGGGGTTTCAGCTGTGAGTTGCAGGGTGATATGGTTGCTAACATTAATGCAATCCCTAACGTTTTTATGAAACACTTCTGTGACAGATTTCGATTTTATTTTTGAGGGGAAAGGTTACAAATGACTTGAGCACATTCAGGCAATCTTCCAACAAAAGCATGGTTTTTAAATATTTTTACTGAATTGGATCATCCTCATGTTTACACCCCAGCTTCACAGATCAAAATAAACACAATAAACGCAAACAACACTGTAAACATACTTACACATCTTGGGTTCATATGTTGAAAACACATTGTTGTGTAAAATATTTCAAAAGATTATCTGACATTGTCCACTGTAACAGCTTTTTGCAATATGAAAATACATATAACAAAAAATAACTTTCTCAAGTTTCTGAAGCATTTTACATGATTGCAGGTTTCCTTTAGAAAATAAAAGGCTGGAATCCAGTTACACATTACGAATCTGTGATTGGTAAAAAATATAATTATATTTCTAAGTGTTTTTCATCCTAAAGGATATTAAAAGACTTTATATATAAGAAGGGACACACTGTGCAGCAGTCATTATGTGATAGTGGTTCAGATCAGGTAGAGAAACTGGGAAATTGCTTCACCAATTTAATTAAATGATCATACACAATATGTATCTGTTCTACTTTCCAGATATTTCGCAATGATGGGCTTACAGTGAAAATACGGAATCATAATGTATTTAATTAGGATTTGTTGCCATTGATCGACCCGAAACACTCTATAATGTCAAAGTAAAAACAAATTTCTATAGATCCTCATAAATTAATTATAAATATAAAACAGAAAATAACCAATTGTGTAAGTGTTCACCCTCCTTGTGTCAATATTGGTAGAGGCAGAAATTGGACCCATGAGTCTCCTTGGAGAAGTTTCTGTCAGCTTTGCACATCTGGACACTGCAGTTTTTGCCCATGCTTCTTTGCAAAATTGCTCAAGTTCCCTCAAGTTGGATGAGGACGTGCGGTGACCAACAATGTTCAGCTCCTGATAGAGATTCTCAATCGGGCTTGCAAAATTGCAAAAAACCCGATTAAAATACATTATAATTCCATATTGTAACAAAATAAAATATGAACAAGTCCAAAGGGGTGAATACTTTTATGGCCACTGTATACAGTAGCTGAAGCTAATAAATAGAAGCAACAAAATATTCCACACTCTTCAAATATGCAAATAAATAAAGATACCTTAAATTGTATTTTAGTTTTAATTATAAACAGAAGTGAGTATTTGTACATTACCAGCTTATTTTTAAACTTTTCTGTTTAGATTTAAAATCTGTCCCCTCCAACAAAACGTGTTTGTGTTGATTGATTGTCTCAGAAACTGTAGGCCACAGAGAATCTTTGCTTTTCTACTGTTACAGTTCAGAGAGATTCTGTACGTTTGGAAAAATTCTGTTATAGAGCTCTTCAGTGGTACAGGTCACACTATTCAGATATAAAAGCTTAGTCATTCAAGAACCCGGATGATCAGCAAGGTCTGTATGAGCGTTAGTACGGAGGTTGATTAGTCCCCCAGGAGTCATGTCCATTTCTTGTGTACTGTCATTCCCTTAAAACAAGGTGCATTATGGAACCAATCAACCTAATTATTAGCACTCAAGGACCAATTATAGTGCTAAGATCTTTGAGAGACTTTTAGTGAAGCATGACAGCTGTTGGATTTAAGTATGTTGTAAGGGTATCAATAAGATTTACTAGCATATTCTCCTTGGTAACACATGTACTGTGCGAAAAATGTGAGCTCGTAGAGGTCAAATAATCATTTGATAACCAATAACAGTCATGACAGATTCTATTTCTTTTTTTTTGCTTAACAACAACAAAAACAACAATAATAATAATAGTTCATAATGATACTGTTATTGATTTTGATTACACTGTTACCGTATGATTGCCATTGTGAGTTGCAGGGTGATATGGATGCTGGCATAAGATACTGCTAACTTCATCACCACCAAGCTACCTTGTTACTCAAATGACTTAGTTTTATTAGCTTTGAAACCCTGATTTCCTTGTATTTAAAATTCTGCAATTTTTGTAACACTATATCTGCCAGGCTATTTAAGTACTGTGCGTGTATTTTCAGAGTTTCATATTGTTCTTAATCCATGAACAACCAAAATATAAATTAGGCTTTGGACCAAATGGAGTCGAGGTTATTGCATAGTCCTTGTGTAGATGCCAAAGCAAGACAAATTTGATTTAATACAGGCCTTTGTTTTTAAATTTTGACCTGCAGTGAAGTGTGTTCAGTGTGAGCATTGATGTTTTTGAAAATATTAACTTTAAGAAAAGTACAGTATATACATAATTTGTGATTCAACAAAGTGGGATGTCAGTGGAAAAGGATGAATACTTTTACAAGACACATTATTTAATTTATTTCCTTTTTTTTAATTATATAATGTTAGCATGCCCAAAGGGGTTGGGCAGCCAGTTGACCTTGGACAACTAGAGGTTTTTTTTCTCCTTAACAGGGAGTTTCTGGTTCCTCTCCTCCGTTGTCTTCTGGTCTTTTCTGTTCTGTATTGACAACATGTATGGTCACTTTCATTGTTAAGCGCCTTGGGGCAACCTTGTTGTGAAAGGTGCTATATAAAAATGAATTTAATTGAATTGAATTATAAGGAAACTTTATTTTATGTTGGAAAACATTAAAAAAATTAACTACATGCTTCACTGTATGAGCAAATGATCTTCACTATCTGTTCAATTGTTAACATGTTGTATTTTATAAATTAATTATTGTGTAAATCCCACCAAAGTATATACTATATTGTTTTGTTCCAGGTGCCATATGCATTGAACCACATAAACAGAAAGCTAACATTGGAGCCAAAAGTTACAATAAATGCCAGAATTGTTGTTGTTGGAGCTTCTGATACTGGGATATCCTTCCTGGAGGTGCTGGCCTACTGGTATGTATGTGTATTTATCTATTTATTTGATCATTTAAAACTACATACAGTAGTGTGTATAATGTTGTATAATCAAAATGTTCATTGTCAATCTACCCTTTTAAGTAATCTAAAGCATTTTAATGCTGGTATTCCTGATGTAAGGAAGTGCTGTCTGATATGATAACTTTAAAAATGTTAAATGATTTTCTAGGTACAAATGTTTAAGCTTACGGTTTTACTGTTTTTCTTTGTATTACACTCTTGTTTATAATTAGATTGACACTACATGTTATTTACCAGATATAATTTATTTTCCTGTCAGGTTACATGTTAATTTTAAAATCCTTCTGCTAGCTTTCAAAGCTCTACAATATGGCTCCTCAGTGTGTAACTGAAATATGACCTGTTTGCTCCCCTTCATGTGATGTTTGCTCTGCTGATTCTGGTTCACTGTGTTCGCACTGTGTTCGCACCTGTTCATCTACACTCTGTGGGTGACAGAGCCTCTGGAACATTGTGGCAAAGAAATCGGGGACTCAGATATATTGGTGCTTTTAAGTTTAGCCTAGGTCTACTTTTTTTCAAAAATGTCCTTTTTGTGATTGGTTTTATTATATTTTGGCCTTATTTTCTTTTGTTTTGTGTTTTTTTTATTTTGTGAAATGTGCTTCTTTATAGATTTTAAAGTGTTTAGGGTGACGATTGTTAAGTTGATATTTTAAATAGGTTATTAGTAATAGTAGCTGCAGTATCATATAGTAATTATAGCAATTCTTTTCATCTTGAATAATTTTAGCTGATTCACATTTAAAGGCATAAATAATTAAGTTTCTTGATGTTTATAATTTATTTATATTTTTTCTTTATTCTGTTCTAGAGGAATTTATCATATTATTATGCATAGAGACAAGACAGTATTGTAAAATGTTGTGTGTTAAGTGTCCACTAGGGGCAGTGTTCACTGTAATTTGTTCAGTGACACAAGAACAGAGCAGAGAAACAGTCCACACAGAAAGATAAGAGACACAAGGCAACGAAAACTCCAAGACGGATTTCTTTTTGTTTACTGTACATTTTTGTATAGACTAATCAGCATCAGTCTCTTCTGCTTTGTTTAAAATAACTGCAGTAGCTTTTGAGTCCAGTTTTCTTTTGGATACCTTGGATCTTCAAATAAAAAAACTAAGGCATCATTTTACAATTTGTGATTTTGAGAAAAAGCTTTAAGGCAATATGATAAATATTGTTTTATATGTTATCTCATAATCTTTATACATTATGTAATCAGTTTCTTGCAAGGATGTTCATTCGGTATGGTTTTATAACATCATTGCATTCAGAGGAATTCTAACAGTTGTATCAAATACTGTTCAGATAGGTAATCTCATATAAGTTTTGAAGAAAGGGATGCTCAGGTGAAAATAAATATTTTACAACTTTCACTGTTGTGCTGAATTAAACTATTTTGTTTTCTTTTGACAAAAGAAACAAAAATGTCAGAAAGGAATTTAAAGCTTCCAAGTTACTAATTTAAAAGCTACTAAAAGAAATTTTAAAAGTTTTTACTTTAGTACAAAGTAAAACTTTACTTTAGTTACAAAGAAAATGTAACTTGTCTTTATTCATAATATTGCTATTAGAATTAGAATAATAGAATTGCTATTAGATTATTTGTTGTGATTGTAGTACTCACTGCCCACATAAACTCTGCTTCTGTGTACTGTAGCTAATAGCAGGGATTAAGATTATGTAGCAAACAGCCACACACTTGCTCAAATCCAAGAAAATGGATTGAAAGCTTTAATTAATGTTTTTTATTAATAAATTACTATGACTGGATCAGACATTGTCTACTAAATATTGCTGGCCAAAATTTTGTTTAGAAGAATTTACTGGTTAGTAGCAACTACAAGTCAGTCAAATGCAGCTGGGAGAGACTCATTTTTTAAGAAATTAGAGTATTTTAAGACAACTGTGAGAAATAGGTACCCCATGATCTAAACCTAAAAAAAAAGAATTGGTGACAGACAAAATGGTGGTAAACAATGATCCAAACAAACTGGAAAAGATTAGATAAAGATCATACAGCTTACTTAAAATATGACCTAGATGCTCTTTGAAACATGAGAAAATGTTTTGAATGTGTCCAATAATTACATATATCTTTTTTTGCTTTTAACTCTTTATTTGCAAATTTCTGTTGTTTACAGAAATTGTAAAATTGTAGTACAACCGGATCAACAAAAAGGCCTAAACCAGTTTTAAACTAATTCTATATAAAATATCTTCATTGATGCTTAAAACCAAACCTATTCTGCATGTTTTGTACTTAATATTAGTCTTACAGTGAAAGTGGTATCTACAGAAACTTCGTGTTTAGTCTGAAATGGAAAGTGTATATTTTTGGGTCTTTGCCTAGAGATCAACTCTTCTCCAAACAATAAACCATTAAAGCATGTTCGTAAGCCCTAAGCTGATGACAGCATGGCAACTTGTTATTCCATTGAACTGAAAAATAATTTAAAAATAACTTGTGGTGTTTGGCACGTTATCGGTGAACATCTTGCACAGCTGCCTCGTTGGCATTCACAGGCATGCTGCTGACTGTTTAATTAGGCTTAGGCTGTTTACACTTGTCAGGGATCATCAGCAGAGTTCTGTGTTTGCTGTCACTAATTAGTTGACTAATGAAATAGTTAGAGCCTACTAACTGATCACAAAGCTAACATGTAATAGATGGTTTGGTGAATGTGTTGCTCTGGCCTATCTGTCTTTGCCATGAGTGTAGGTTTGCAGGGGCTTTCTCCAGCTGTTAGCCCTGTTATCAGGCAAGCTCCAAACGGCAGTTTCAGCTTTCCATGTGTTTAGTGTCAGTGGGTCCCCATCGCTCAAAGAAATGTTTCTTTTTCTTATTCAGAATCAATAGGGAGGCAGTTAGACAGAGATGGATGTGAATGGTCATGCCCCCAGCCTTGTAGTTATGGCTCGGTCACAATGAGCACTGTCATTGACTGATAACAGGAATAATCCACAGTTTGATATCTGGGTCAAGTTCAGTCTTCCAGTGAGGAGCGTCATTAGGCGTTAGGTCTTTAATGATTGCAATGTCATTCTCAACTAGCAGAAGATTAAGAATCCCAGAGTACTTAGGTTTGTGTGACTTTAAAGCACTTCATTCTTATGCTTGCATTATCTATCCGTGTTTTTAACAATAGGAAGAGACAATGCTCATATTGATTTTTAAAATTAATGCATGTCTTAAAAGAAAAATGCCGGAAATGGAAATAAAATTGTTATTGCCGATAGTTAAAACTAATCAACACGAATAAACTTTCCTGAAAATACTGGAGTATCTAATATAGGACAAAAATAAATTAAGACTTAAGGGTATATAGTATAAGGAACGACACGCATATAGTATACAAATCAAATAACTGCTATTTACAGTATTTTATACAGTAGTTTCTGTTAGATTTTGTGCCTAATTAAATTTTAAATTGCAAAGGATTTGTTGTAATCATGAACATGAAAATTAAGTATCTTATTCCTTTACAATTATTTGAATATTGTCTATTTAAAATGATCACTCAAGCATGCAGAGAAAACTGTACTAATTTGTGTTTTTGACAAGTGGGGTTAACTATCAGAATCCTGTTCATAGACATTGGATTAATTGGTTAAAATTGTCTTGAAGGTTTCCTAAAAAAAGGATTTGTAATTTTTTTTCAATATTGAAAACTGTGAATAGATTTAATGTAATTCAATTTTGAATGCATTTGTGTTAAAGTTTAATTAAACATTACAAACAATGCAAATAAATGTAATAAACATAATGTTAAGATTTAAAAGATCCCCAACACCTGAAATTCTTGTAAACCATAGGCAATTAACCAGGATGTAAATTCATGCATGAAACAGTTGATCTATTCAGCTAAGTAGAATATTTTTGCCAGTGCTTGTACATAATATACAATATATGTATTAGTTATTTGTATGCATGCTATTCAGTAGTACTTAGCAGTGTTTGAATATTCTGGAATATTCTGAGCAAATGTTGACTAGTACATTATGGTCCTTCCTTATGTTTGTGTCACAGTAATACAAATGTTTCCAGATTATTTACTGTGTTTAAAATACATACCGAGGAAATGAATCACTTCAAAGAACTGTATTTTTGGACATCTAAGTAAATTTAGGACATATACTGTACACAACAGTGAAGAAACGTACAACTGGAAACCCAGACAGCTGTTTCTTTACTTGAAAAACCCGACAGCTGAGGCAAATAGAGAAGGTCTGCAAGAGTTTACAATTTAAAAAGTTTTGCTTCTTCTGTCTACTGGTACTTTATGTTTTTGTTGTGTGTTATTACAGTTGTAGTGAATAGTTATATTGTATGCCCAACAGTATCTGTATATTTGCGTTATTGTTCCATATTGTGCTGCCTCTAATCCCTACTTCACTTTATTATCTGCAGCTCTTTTCTGCCTTTGTATCCACAGCAACCTCAAATCCCCACTGCAGCTGAATGTCATACTTAGATACAAATCTGAAAATGCCTTGAATCTGAGGAGTGCTCACTCAGCTGCTTTTTCTTCGGGAGCGGCCTTTCTCTAGAAACGTCCCAATTTTCCATAAATTGTACATTTAAAGGAAAACAGAGGATGCAACTGTGTTTTATCGCTAAAGACATTATGCCTGTAAATACTATTTATAAGTGACTGAATTAAATACTAACATGCAATAAATATACAGTTATTGATTAATTAAGTTTAAAAGCCCTTTTTATCTTTGACTGCTATTTGCCAGCCATAAACTGATTATGACTGCATGGAACAGATAGTCATAGACAGCATTTACATGAAAACATTACTAGTGGTTCTAAAACAGCACATGAGTGTGATGGTGCCTTTGACTTACAGGGGAGATAAATATACTGCTACTAGTTTTTTTTTTTCATATGTGATGTGTTACATATAGTTAAATAAATACTTAGTGTTTCAACAGCATTATCTTCAAACAGGAACAGCAGTATTTAGCGGATATAGTTTTCAATGATATGACCACGTTAAAAAAACATTTTATTTAGCAATGCCTCAAAACACATGATTGTGTGCTGTGTTGATGGTACTTAGCAATTTTGTTTTCTCAAAATGTATATGCAGCTAAATGACATGAGCAGTAGGAAGCAGCAATCAATCATCGCGTTATCTATGTGAAGCACTTCTAGGTTTACTAGATTATGGAAACAAACAAGAATCTAGGGAGGAGAAAAAGACAGCATTTTCGACTCTGGTGTGGGAGTCAGTTACTCTATCAATTGATGAGTCTGCAGGAAACTAATTGTGCATCTAACGCCATGACTTACAGAGCTTTTCATTTTGCAGGTGAACCCCCATTCTGGTCACTCCAGTGAACAGATCTTTGTGCAATAGTCATAGTAAGGGAAAAAAAACATGTAAAAGTGGGAAGAGATTGTGTTTCATTCATCTTTTTTCTTATTAACAGAAGATTAAAGCTTTTTGGGTCACTAGAGCTCTTACCCAGCCCCTATTAGTGTAGATATGAAGCCTCCATAAATATCTACAATATCTGCACTCTTCTTTTTGCAACTATCTTTACATTTATACGGTCAGAAAACAAGCATGCAACAAATGACTGAGATTATGAAAGTGCTAGTGTCCCTTGTTTTGGTACAAAGCCACTTCACAGCTGTGTGAATGACACCTGACACACATTGTTAACTTGGAAGTACCTCAACTTTTTATAGTAGATTTTCACTAAAGCTGAAATCTGGTGAGCCTGCAGTCCAGCTCCTGCTGCTGTTCCTGAAACAGGTTTAGTCAGTTTTCTCAGCCGTAATGAGAGAAAAAGGGGGTATACACGCTGTTATTCTAATGTGTTATATTTCACTCTGTCTTTCCTGTGATATGAGGAATGTGTAAATTGTGTGTGCTGTTTATTATAAAGCAAATCTTTTTATTGAGTAAAGACTGTAATACTATTTTATCAATACTGTAAAATACAAATAATCTTAATTTTGAAGTTAGTTGTGAAATAGTTTTTTATTCTTTAGAAAAGTGGTATAAGTGACATGTATAGGGCTTTTCTAACTCTAGCACATATACATACACATAAAATATATTTTATATGCAAATAAAGTTAAGACATACTCATTTACCCCAAAGGATAATAATTGCCCTATTATCAGCACATCTTTAAAGGAAGTTTTTTCTTCTTTGACTTGTAACATACATTTTATTATTAGTCATTTATTTGACTGACATGTCTATTAAATAAGAAGTTTATCAATGCAGTCTGAGCACAATACCTTGCTTAAGAGTACAAGACCTTGTCTGGGACTTAAACCCTCAGTTTTATAAAGAATGGTCCAGAGTATTAACAACTGCTCCATGCTGTTACCTACATCTATGGGTATTTCTATTTTATTTATGCCTTTTACTCTTATACATTTCTTTTGCTTTCATAGCCCACATCTGCAGTTCAACAACATCACTTTGATCTCCACTCATGGATTGCCAGGTGGCTGTTCGGGTTATTCTGAAAATAAAACATTTTTGGCTACCAGGTAAGTCCTCTTAAAGGAATATGCCAGTATATTAAATTTGGATGACTGCAGATTCAATTGCATTCTATAAATAGGAAGAAAAAGCCCTGGGCAAGCAGAAAAGCTTAGGAGGTTAGGAATTTACAGATTGGTGGAAAAACTAATTAAATCCTAACCCCAATTCATTTTAGTACTGTATTATAGTATTTGTGTCAGTGTTTTTACACTTTAGAATCAAAAGAAGCTAAACTGGCACTGGGCAATTTTTTTATGAAATGTGCCTATTTACACAAGTAATGGAGTAATTCTTGTTTCTACAACAGGAATTAATGGATGAAAGTTCTTAGGTTTGGATGGAAAATTCTGAATCATAAGATCATATACAACTTAAAAATGCTGTGAATATAAATAAACACAAATTGTGTATCAGTGTGTTTTGAACACCACCAAGTTCCAATCTTAAGATTCTGTTCAGGCAGCTTTGAGAACAGAGATATTTAGTCTGTTTCTCAGTTTTGTTTTATTGATATGCTGTCTCCTGTGGCTCAGTCTCTCCTGGCTTCCCAGTACCGTCACACGGTAGTTTTTTTTAATGCTACTACTTTTTTTTACCCTGCTGAGGAAGAACTGCTTGATGTATGTCAAAATGTGAAACATTACCACACCTCAACGTGCTGGAAAGAGTTACATATAAGACATTTTATCCTCATTTAAAGGTCACTGTTATTTTTAGATTGACAGTGTCCCCTTTATATTTATTAGGTTTCAAGCTATTTTCCAATAAATTCAGTAAACACATAAAACAAGAACAAAACAGTGCTCAACATTATTCTTCCCCCACATAATATAACACAAAGTGTAACAACAATTACCCACCCACACACAGTATGTAGTGCCAATCACAACAGTACTAACAGAAAGCCTTACAGACAAGAATATAGTTCTCTGTCCTCCTCTACCACTCTGACAGCTCAGATCATCTCAAACATTTCCAGTTGCTGACCAAAACATGAATCAGAAAAAATGAAGCAGTTACTTTTGTTCTTAAAGCAAACTCAATGACAGATTCGGGGTGTGGTTATAGGATTCTTCTCCAGGTGATTTAGTTCAAGTAGGCTTGAACCTCATTCTGATTTGTTTTTTCATCAATATGGGTTTCTCTCTTTACTACTGTCATTTCCCAATTAAGGTTTAAGGATAAAAACAAACGTACATAAAAAGTAAACAAGTAAACAGGATGCCAATACAATAATGTTTTGTTATTAAGCAGTTTATGATAAGCACACTTTAACCATCACATTCTTTAATCAATCTTTATTTTCTATTGTTTTCCAGGTGAAAGTTGCATTGCACATTAATTGTAATAGTGCTATGTTATATTTGTTTCTTATCTACCTTTGGCCATCTCTAGGAATGCCAAAATAATTCTTAAATAATGTAGCCTCTCATTATTTGCTGACTATAGGAAAATTTGTTAATTAAGGAGTTAATAAAAGGTATCAGTCTGTATCACTGCCTCCATCATGAATGTCTTTGTCAGCAATGTGTTTTCCCACACTGACTATAGTGCTGCATTTTTCTGTTAGAGGGTCCACTTGCTCATATGTCAGTATCTCACAGCTTTGCACCAGAAGTTTCAGTCTCAAATACAAGACTCTGTTTTACTGAAGAGACATTATTAGCCATAGTTTAGCCAAAGGAACAAGTAAAGGTTTATTCCATTCTGAAAAGAGACACAACGTTTCGGCTGTGGAGCCTTCTTCAGGTGTCAAAGTAGTTCGGTTTAGCCTATGCTTTTCTCATTAGTTCGGGTATTTCAAACTGCAGAATCTCCTTTTCTAACATTTCATTTTCTTCCTCCTCTGCCTGTACAATTACAGGGACTTGTGCACTTTGTTCAGTCAAGATTCCTGTTTTTCTGTGTCTACACCTCCATTCTGTTTATTACCAGTCCATCTGTCTCCAGATGTCTCATCAGCTGTGCTGGAAAATACAGATTTTACCACCCACCAATCTGACTGTTGCAGACTTTGGTTTTCCAAAGCCATGTCTACATCCCCTTTAAACTCTGCAGCCAGCTTTCTGCAGACAGGCTCACTCTGGGTTTTGCCTCCCTCTTGCTTTTACTGTCTTCAGTAGCAATTGTGCAGTTTTCAGCAAAACTGTGCCTCTGCCTCCCAAAGTTAAAGGGGATCTGCAATGTTATTTTTACATTTCGGGGTTATAATGAATCGGCAATGATGAGTGAATTTCAAGCCACAGTGAAACCACCAAGTACACGGTGATGTGTACAACCTCCAATTTTTTGCATCACAAAAGAGATTAAGTGTCAATGTATGCATAGCACCATATTGCTGTCATTGTCTCATAACATGGCAACAAAACTTCCAATGAAGTCTATTACATTTTAAACATGCTTTAATACAAGCCAATTTTACTGCTGAATTAACAGTACATTTTGCCATTAAACCAAAACATGTTTCTTAGATAACTTTAAGTATTGCAAAAAAAGAGCAACGTGCCAACCAAATTAAATTTTAATAATTAACCTTGTTAGGTTAACAAGGTGTGTTTTTCACACCAACTAGTGAGCAGGAAGGGCTGCTTTTAATGTCACAGTTTGCATGAACTCTCGCACTCTGCGATAACAATGCAACCATACAGTACCTTACAGTAATTTGTAAAATTTTACGTTCCCGTCAGTTAATTTATTTTTTTACAGAGATTTAATAACCAGTCTGATAAATTGGGACTGCAGTTCCCCCTCAAAAGTTATTGTCATTTCAAATGAGGTCAAATCTATATAGGCACAACCATCAACACAACATCTAAACATGTCTCGGGTCAGAGAACTTGTAGCCCATATTAGGAAACACACCTTGTTAACCTTCTAACAAGGTTAACTATTAAAATGGAATTTGTTTGGTTGGCAAGTTGCTCTTTTTTTGCAATACTTAAAGGTATTGTTAGCCAAAAGTGCTAATTTAATGTGGTCCCCTGTTGTGCTCTTTAAAAGAACAGCTCTTAAAAAACTATACGAACCTACGATGAGCAGAACAGCTGTCAAGCACGTAGAACTAAGAGCAGCAGTGTGCTGCCCTATCAAAATAGTATCTAAAATAAAATATTTACTTTTAGAATAGATTATTAGCTTTTTCTGATGTTCTGTATACACATCTCTATTTTTAAATGTAGAGCAAAATGCGGGCACTAGGCCTCGCAATGGTTGCATAGTAACAGATCACTGAGTGTGTGAGATTTCAAGGACAATGGAGAAAAAAAAATTGTAACTAAGAAAGATGGCAAACGTATGTGTCTTTTGTCCAAAAACACTTGGTTTTATAAAAGAATAAAATGTTGAACATAGTGCAAGTACTTCATTTATTTGTTCTGTCTCCCTTCTCTCATGTAGTACTTCAGATAATGGAAATTAGTTTGCATTGTAGCCCACATAGCAACTTCTTCTGAAATATCTAACACTATTAGTTAAGTTTATATGCATTAAATCACTTTAATAAGCAATATTCTCATAATGTACTGTAAACCATTGTTATTATAAATTATTTTTTACTGTTCATGACAATACAAATAAGTGATGTTGAATGAGGTGATTTTTGTTTTTTACTTTTATTCTATTACCTGGGGGAAAAAAAGTAGTTCTTCTAGTATACAGTTACATTTAAGAGACAAAGGACAGGTTCTAAATAACTTAATAGAATTCCTTAACCGATCAAGAAAAACACTAGAGTACAACATTATATAATTAGACTATTAGAGGGCTTTTGATGAACACCTCTAAAAGGTTGATTTTCAAATCAAAAGCTGTAGATATAATATATATGCATGATTTGAAAACCGGTTAATGAACCAGAAACAATGCACCATATTAAGGGGCACATCTTCTAATTGGCAAATAGTATAAGTGGTGTGCTGCAGAGATCTGTTTTAGGCCCATTGATCTTCCTGATCTATATCAATAATTTACATTCTCATGTATTTATCAATCTACTTAAATTTGCAGATGAAAAAAACAGGAGGAGGTTTTTTTCAAACAGAAATAATGGGAATTACACATTACAAGGGAATTACAAAAAGACTTAGTCAAAGTCTTATGTTCTCAATAAAAGATACTGTACCTTCAATCTGTGATCCTTGGAGTTGTTAACTTGTGGCTTCCAGTCCTGTAATAGCTGTGTCCTTTGGTTCTGTAAACTTTGATTGCTATAGGAATATCCAGCACACTACCATCATTGTGTGCCATTGGATAACCTTAATCTAGAACAATGAATGCTTTTCAGTCTCCCTAGTATTCGATAATAAATGTAGTTTCTGCTTCCATCTTACTTTGGCACATCGAGTATAATTACAATATTAATAGGACAAACAGAACATCCAGATATTGAAAATAATATTTTATTTATACGCAAAAGTATTAACCTCGTTCTGAGAATATCTAATTTCGTTCAGTTGCAAATGATGTAAAACATTTTTTAAAGTTAACATTTTTAATCAAAACTTGAAAGGTCAAAGTGACAAAAGTCTTGCCATAGACTTTCTATTGAATTCAAGTCAGGACTATGACTGAGACACTCAAGAACATTCACTTTCTTCTTGAACTTGAACTTTATTGCCATGTGTAACCTGTACTGGTACAATGGAATTCTTACTTACAGAAAATCTCTTGAAAGTGTAAAACACAAAGTGCAGACAGAGCATCAAGACAATATACAAGCAAACAGTAGACAATGTACAAGTAAACAAGTAAACAGTTCAAATGTAAACAATGCAGACATGTAAACAATGACTGTATATGTGCAATAAATAAGAAATCATAATGAGGTAGACGGTGTAGGTGTGGTCTGAGGGGTCTGCATGGCCAAATGTGTTCGCCAATGTGTTTGTGTGTAGAAGCTATTGAAGAATCTGGTGGTAAGTGTCCGTATGCTCTTGTATCTCTTGCCTAAGGGCAGTGGGGTGAAGAGCTCATGCCCGGGGTGGTGACTGTCCTCTGTCATGGCCAGAATGTTAAGGCACTCTAGTTTAACCTTGGGCTTTGGTTTCTTGTTTCTTGCTCAGTACACAGAAAATCATTTCCTCAAAACTTTCCTGTACTCTAAATTTGCCTATTTTCTCTCCAGTCTTGACAAGCTTTCCAGTCCCTGTTGATAAGAAGCAGCCCCAAAATATAATGCTGTCACCACCTTGCTTGATCACAGGGACGGTGTTGACAGCCTGGTGCGCTGTGTTAGGTTTGCTCCTTACATATCATTTTGCATTTTGACCAACACACTCCAATTGTGTCTCATCTGACCACAAACACTTACAGTATCACTTAGATGCTTTTGTAGCAAACTACATGCAGGATTTGAGACGGGTTTCCCACTCTGTCATACAAATCAGCTTTGTGGAGTGACTGGGAAATTGTTGACTCATGAGTATTTCTTCCTCTCTCAGGCATTAAACTCTGTAGCTTATTCAAATTTGCGGTCTTCATCTTGGTGGCATCCCTAACCAGTTTCCTCCTTGCCCAGAAGTATTTCTGCAACTTTATCCATGAGTTGTTTTGAATGTCTCTTGGTCTTGGATCGTAATTAAATCTTTGCTTGAAATTATTTAACTGAGGAACCCTACAGACATATGTGGATTTGTTCTGAAATCATGAGAACTACTATTATTTCACATTAACAGAAGCCATTCATCTACAGTATGACTTTTGCATCTTGTTATAGTAATACCCTGTACCTGAATGTAGGTTTACCATAGTGAATTCGTATGCAGTACTTTTGCCCACGAAAGTATTCATTTGGACCATTCATGTCAAATCGTTGATTCAAATCTTTAACAAATGTGTACTCCATTTGTAATTCAAATACACGAGACATTGAAAGGGGCGAATATTTATTTGCTAAGGTACTGTTTTTCAGAATTGAACACTCACAGAAAAGATGTCACCAATAGGAATAAGTTACCCTCTTTGTAGGTAGATTTAAGATATTAAAGGAATATTCCAACTTCATCACTTTTTATTTTGTTAATATTTTATTTGTACTAATACTACAACAAATTTAATTGAATTAAATTTAACACAAAAAAAATGAGCAGAAGCTGTTCAATGTTTCCTTTCCACTAGAACATATAACATTGTTACTCCATAAAAGTAACAAATGGAATTATGGTTTTCATTGCAATCATGCAGTTAGTAAAATGTGATGCTAGAGGTCTGCAGTCACTGAAACTGAAAACTGAAAATCCTAAAACGCCTTGTGTTCATTTAAATGTGGCATTCCTGCTTTGTGGCTTGAATTTGTATAACTGTTTAGACAGCAGTTTGACAACTAACTATTTAATTATGAAAGATAAGGTTTTCAGCTCTCTTTTAGATTCTTCTTGTACTGCGTTATGATGTTCATTGTGAACACAGTTGAGGTTTTTTAATTATTAGTAATGTTCAGTCCCAAAATGGATTTGCAATATAAAAATATGCATTATTAGAAGGGGAACATTTTGTTTCAAACAGATGTTTTAGTTTGTTAATTTTGCTAGCACAAAAATGGTCAAAACAATATGATATATTCAAGAGATCCCTTTCATGTCCACATGTTCACTACAGAAGCTCATTTCTTTTTTTATACTATTGAAAGCTTATATAGCTTGCATTTCAGCTCTAGTCATAAGTAGCCTGACAGATGTCTAATTAGTCTCTGCCATGAGCCGTTAAAATCACTGAGACCTGTTTGTTGTGTCCCTGTAGCTACTGCTACAGTGATAAGGACTATGCGCTGCTGTCACTGCGGTCCTGGATCAACGTGGTGGTTGGAAAGATGCAGGGAATAGACAGAGCTGCCAAGCATGTGCTGGTGTCTGATGACAGGAAGGTCCCATATGACCATCTCATACTCTGCACAGGACAGCAGTACCAGGTGAGGCTCCTGCAACATGAATGAGATTAGGATTTTCAATTATCATATTATTGTGCCAATAATATGCATAAGTCACAGTTCTAAAATGCATTTCAACTGTTTGTTTACCTTCTTAAATGTATTGTCTTTTGAAAAATTGGAAGAGTAGTGATCCATGCCAAATTTAAGGAGCATACAGATTATCCTCCTATTCTTTCCTCCTATATTGATGGGTGAAAGAACACTTTTTATCTCTCTTTTCCAACAATAAAAATACATTTGGCTTTAGCCCACTTTATTTGCAACAAATTATTTTTAATAACCTTCACATTAGCCAATATTATCAAGTAAACGGAAGTATGTGGTTTGAAGTGCAATTTCTGTAGCACAGTTAAAATACAAACTTGAGAGTTCATTTCAATTTACCTGTAATATTAATCAAAATGCAATATTTTCATTTTATTTACTGTTTCTACCTTAATGGAATAAACTACATGGAACAGGGTACATTTGTGGCAGAAAAGCATTCTCATTTAGAATTTCACAATTTAGAATTTCGTACTGAAAGAGAAAGGAGTAAGGGGTTTGTTATCTTGACTGCTTAGATAAGCTACATAATGTCAAATTAAAAAACAAACATAAAAAACTGAACTAGTGCTTTGATTTGATTAGCTAATTATATACTTTCAAATCTCCCTCTTTCAACGTAAAAGCTCTTGCCTGTAATCATTGATTGCATAATTGCTGAAAATATAAGGACAAATCAGTTCAATGAATTGTTCATCTATAAACCACAAAAGAGTCATTATTAGTGAATAACAATTTCAACAAATCATTCAAGTTGGGCCTTGTGGCAAGAACTACATGGCTACATAGTCATGTCTGCAATGACTTGCAACTGATTTGTCCACAATAAGGTAAAGAGTAACTGCAATAAGTCAGATCCATGTGCATTTCAGAGGTAAATTTGGGCTTTTCTATTGCAGACCTTTCTTTTAACCAGGGCAGGCATTAGGCATACGCAACAGGCAGCTGTCTATGTTGCAAAAGGTGGAGTGTACAAATAATTATCTGTGAATACATGTGTGGGACAAATGGGGGTGGCATAGCATAGTGAGTAATGTGTAATTGTTTCAATGAAATAGATTTAAGATCCAACTTTATAACAAAACAAAAATTATATTGTATAAATGAAAATATATGTAAATAATTCTGATTTCGTGCAAGAACAAACGTATCTGGGCCAACAACAAATTTTGTGAAAACCCTCTCATTGCTACTCATTGACAATTAGCATGTTTTAAAACCATCATCCAGTTGGTATTGTAGAATGAATACATACTCATCCGCTGATGAAAAATAAATAGTACATTTCTGATTTAAAAAATAAAAAATGGTTAAAACTTAAAAATACAGCAATAATCTCACAACAGCAATGACTGACTGGAGCAGGAGAAACTACCAATACAATAGCATTTTGCTAAAATGTATTATATGGGCTGTTATAAGACTCTGGTAGGCCACAGCAATATTATCAAGCTCACCTGTATATCTTGTGTTTTTTTGGTTTTATTGATATATATTTTTATGGCAAAAGCCATAAAGCATATGATTCAGGATGATGATGTCGAATAATACAAATCGTTTGTAATCATATGCGTTTGTTTTTTTAAGCAGACATCTATGATTTTTGTATTGAAAAATGATCATTGAGTGTTGCAAAATATTAAGAAATGTATAGCTTCATTGTCTTATAGCCCATTTTGATGTTGTGGATTGACTGGAACATGCGATTGCAAACATAAAACTAAAGTCAATTTCAGAACCCAAGAGTGTTGAGTAATGGCAAAATGTCTTTGGAAAGATGCTAAAGAAAGGTTTGAAAATACAAAAAAAGGCTGAGATGCAGAGGATTTGCACACAAAAATAATAAAATTAAGATAAAGTTTTTTAACTAATCAGTTAGTTGGAAAAGAAAAAATAATTCAAAGACACTGGATATTTTCTCTTTGAGAGTAAAGCCACAAAAGTTTCTCATATCTCTTTTCTGCTAAGACTGCAAGTACTGTATAAAACCAATCATGTGCCTGTCTAGGTAAGTACAGTAGCTGGTCAAGATGACCTTACTATATGTGTCAAATGACAAACCCATAGCACATGAGTACGATATCCTTCTAAAATCACTACAGATTAATTAATTTTAGATTAAATCTAATTAATATTGTTTTTTTCATGTGACAAGTCAATGCATTACAGTTTCAGAATGTGTTCCTCCATTTCTGATTGTGCTCCTCCATGTATCTACATAAAATGGCACATTGCCTGTAGTGAAGGATGACTCATGCAGGAGGTCACTCTTTCATATCCCTAGATACTGATCTTGGATAAGAACCAATAGCGATCACTGTGCTGGCTTCTGTCCTACTGTGGACTGGGAAGAGATAATCACCTAGGATTGATTCACCTCTGATCGTCACAGCTGCTTCACACAAACACTCCATAACTCAGCTTAGGCTTATAAAGTGAAATGACAGAATCTTTCTGTTTTGTTCATTTAGTAGCGTCAATAGCAAGACATTGGTACAGGGCACTCCAAACTAAAAATAAAAATTTAAAAAAAGTTATTACCCTTTAATATTGCAGTACAAAAATCAACGTTAACTCACATATATGTGTACAGTATCTTTAATTATAGGAAAAAGTAATAGGTTTATTCCATGCTGAATAGAGAAGAGAGAAAACACAACATTTCGGCTGTGAAGCCTTCTTTTCAGCATGGAATAAACCTATTACTTGTTCCTTTGCAGACTATGCATGCTGATGCAGCTCCCCATCTGAACATCTTTAATTATATGAATGAAATGATGTTACTCTACTCATCTGGTGAATATTATTTGTTCCTTTACATTTCCTTTCATTTCTTTAAGGTACCTTGCCCCACTGGCATTGATATTAGCCAACTGAGTACAAACAGAGACATTGCCATCAGGACAGGCGAGAGATACACTGGACCAGTCCCTTCCAACCTTTTCACTCTGAATGATGACAGAGACTGCCTAAAGACTTACAACTGGCTTCAGCACAACTTTGTGCATTCTGAGGGTATGTTGTGTCCATGTCTTCAGCTTGGAGATTGATTTTATTTGATGTGCCTTATTAGGCATACTGTTCCCTACTCCCACTATATAATTAGGACGTAATTAATTTGAATGAAATCTTTCATCTGTCTAGCTCTGCTTCTTCGTTCCATTTGCAGCATGATATTAATTTTTTGGGGGGAATGGTACTCTGGTGATGAAAAGGCTGATAGAATTAATTAAGTATAATTTTTTCTAAGGAAAATAATAGGGGCAGTGAGCACTGCATGATTAACCTGATTAGATTAACTAATTAGAAGATCATTTAATTATCAAGGAAGTAGCACAATTATGAGAGAATGCAAATTATGCTGTCTAATGAGGAATATGTCAATTCTGCATGCTTTGTGTGGAAAATGTGACATCCCACCCCGTAAAAGGAAATTTTCTCCAGGCACACGGAGGTGAGTTTACTGTTTGGGTTTCATTTTGCTCAACTAAGAAGTGTCTGTGTTCCAGGGTCCAAATATTGTTGCAGGTATATATCTGCCACAATATGATAATTGCCACAATGAAGAAAATCAATTGGCTTACGTCATAATATGCGGCAGATTTTATTCAGCTGTGTGCTAGTTAGCTGCAGATGGATTTACTCTCATATTCTCATTTCTTTCTCTAATGCAACTATTCATACTGCAGGATTTTGCCCTAATGAAAAAAAAACTTATTAACTACAGTAGTCCAAAAGCATCTAATCATACTTTCTATTAATATAGTGTAAAACATAATGGCTTTAACACATAAGACAACACATTGCTGAAAGATAAGTGCAACAATTTTCTAGAAACTATTACAGCACACTTATAGCAGGACATGCCCAGTGTTTCATTTTCTTTTGACATATTTTCTAACATTTTTATCTGAATCATTTCAATTCACCACCCTTCACAACAAATTGCCACATAACATTTTCACAAATGAATGAATTAGTAGTTTATTGTGATTCATTCTAAACAAAACAAAATTAAATATGTTGTTTTGTACTTGTAGAAACACAGTGCAGCTGTTCTGATTTAGAACTGACCTTCAGCACCATGGATAGTGCCCATTATAAACTGCAGAAAAGCTGAATTCTCGTTTTCACTGAAAGATTGTAGAATCACTTAAGTATTGCATGATATATTTTTTTCTCTCCATATTCCCCCATTTAATATTTACATTTTCCTGAATACCATTTATCACAGTTACTCAAGAGCTTTCCAAAATGTCCGAGTACAATCATTCGTTCTTAGTGCCTTGTGAGAAACAAATGTGGAACTGTGGCAGCTGTTGAACTCTTTGAAAACCTGGCTGAGTCACTGGGTTTGTTGATAATCCAATGTTTTAGGGAAACAATGCCTAAAAGTTTCAAGAGAAACGAAACAGATTATGACCCCGCAGGAAATGAGGAATAAGACTGCTTAATAGCAGGATTGCCTTCCTGTTTGTCAGATATCATCAGATCTCAAATCAACTAAGCAAGAGTGAGCCTACGAAGCACTTGGATATGACACCACTTGGTTGGTGGACCAGTAAGTGTCAGTTTCCCCTCTGGGTCAGAATTTCAATTCAATGCCTCTGTGTGGTGCTTGGAAACATTGCTGATAGAGGTGCCGTCCTTAGATTAAATTGCGGTCCTGACAACTTTGTCATTAATGAAATGTGTGGGTACATTACCCCCAGTGTCATGGTAAAAGTCTAGTCTTGATTTGTGCAATCCAGTGTTCCTAAGGTTCCCCCTTAATTCAGTTGGTGAAATTTCTCACTTCTCCGCCAGATCTGCTACATATTGGAGATGCTGGTGCATAATGGCTGTTAGACACTACCCAGATGGTTCAGTGCTGGAAGAAGCGGGTCCCCACTTTTGTGCAAAGTGCTTTGGGATCATTTATGATGAAACGCACTACACAACTTCAAGGAATCATTAATACTAGATCAAACATGTAGAGTCTTAAGCCTTCCTTTCAGTGCACCACCCATTACTTACAGTAAACCTGGTGCTGTCATTGAAGATAAATGATCATTTATTGTAAGCATATTAATTTAATACTTTATCAAAGCAAATTGTTGAGGGAAACTAATTTGATGAGGGCATTTTAAACTAAATTGGTAAATGGCATATTACCTTGTACAAATAATGTTCATTACTGCTTATTTGGCATAAACAGATGGCACAATTACTTAATTTCTTTCTTCTGCAAATCAGATTTTGATATGTAACACCACATACGAGATGAAAATAAATGTTCTGTGAACATTTTCAAAGACTCACAAAAAACATGTATTTGATAAGTGGATGTGAGCTTAGTTCTGGTAATCTGTTTCCATTTCCCATTCTCCATTCCAAACCCACACAGTCATACCAGGATGATGCCATCCTCATGGCCATACACGCACTCAAATAAAGGAGACCGCTGTAAGAGAGTAAGAGCAACAAGGGACTGCCAAAGAGGTGGCCATGTGTTTCATAAAGAACAACAACTATCTAGTTCCTCCCTTCCTGTTCTTTCTCTGTACAGGTACAGCTGTGCTATAAAGAGCTCTTGTTATGATATAATTGAATGTGCTGAAAAGAGCAGTGGGGAACAGAGTTCCCGCCTTTCTTGTTATCTTTAATAAACCAAGCATTCTGCTGATAACTGATGTTACTCTTCTCATGAATATAGAGACAGAAGTAGGGAGAGATAAAGGTGGTTTGAATGGGAAGAAAGGTAGTGCACTTAATAGGCTGAAATAGAGCAATCATGTTGCTAGATATACCTCCATGGCTGAAACCTCTATGCTGGCAGATGAGTGCAGTATTGAAATTCCAAAGAACAGCAAATTTAATTAGGCCTTACTACTGTACACACAGGTGTTTGGAAACATTTTTGTACATTGTTGTTATTTTTAAATGCATAAATCTTAGAGCTTTGCCTCTATGAAAATTAATTTTCATTTCTCTTTTTATTTATTTTCTTCTGTTTTGTTTAAGGTTGTAAAAATGTAAGTAAGCACTGTAGTAATGAAAATAATAACTTTTTTTTCATTACAAGATACTTTAGAAGTTAACGTACTGTACTTACTGTATCTTACACTTCCATAAATGAGAAGAGTCCATTTCCATAGGTCTACCAGAAACCAAAGGCATTCCTTTTTAAATATGTGATTAGTCACAAAACCAGTCACAATCACAACAAAACTGTGAGATAGGTGGTACTTCCACACTCACTTCACATGATCTTGGTCTTGTTGTTAACTACAAACATCAGAGATAGTGGCAATACTCTTCTTTTGGTCATTGCATAAGACATATACAACCAATATTGAATGTAATGTGATTTCATTTACCCTTTTATCCCTCAACATCCAAAGACATAGTCTTGCAGTAGTCCAGTATTACAGTTTTTACTGTTCCATTATTGCCTGCAGTAATGGAATGAGAAAAAAGGTGAATATGCTAAGTAGGAACAGCTATCATTTTAAGTTGTTTTCAATTAATTCCCTTTGTCTATTAGTAATTCTGTCCTCTGGCTTACAGTAAATATTGCTAATTTGAACATTAATTCGGCACTTGATCCTGATGTCTTTTTAACTGGAATTCTCTGACATTCTTTTTAATTTGAGATCATGGCAGGTGAGAGCAGGCAGGGATGATCGTTGTCATCATTATCAGCAATTAATTTTTTTAACGGTTTTAATAATAATAACATATTCAGCTGCTGTCTAGCTATGTCTCAATTGTAAATTAAGAAACAGTTTCACTTGATATCTTCCCATATAGCTCTGCAATGATCAGAAAAAGAGAGCATAGATACAGTACCTCAGCAAATTATCTTGGTCCCTCTGTTGCTAGGTGACCTTCATAGGCCTCATAGCATTAGAGTTGTTCGTAATCCAGTAATATTGCATCATTCAAGTTATTTGTCACAATGTTCTTACGCCTCCTATTAATTGAATGAAATGTGTTTTCATTTCCAGGTAATGCAGTATTATTTGGCAGTACAATAGATGTGTACACTACTTTAGAAACCATGCTGTCCCTTGGAATTAGTGCCTCACGTATCCACTTGGTACAGCCACCTTTGGATGACACAGTTAGCTGCTTTAACAACTTCGAAGTGGAGAGAGCTGTGGAAGAAGCAATGAGGCGAGCTGGAGTGACGTTGCACCACAACTGTGTTCTTGCCCAGTGGAATGATGGAGAAGACACTGAGCCCATAACATCTGTTTCGTTTACCACTGACACAAAACCCTTCAAACTTCCATGCTCAGTAAGTAAAACTACCGCTGAGCATCAGCTGTGAAAGTACTGTTCTACTCCCGTACATTCTTCAAATCAAGTCTAAAAGAAAACTGCAAAAATCAGTTCCCAGTATGTAAGACAGAAAGATGCCCGTAATAGAAACCTGATGAAGCTTGGTTAATCTCATGTTGAGATCATCCCTAGTATAATAAAAGTCATAAATAGGCTGACTTAGCAAACGGAATAGCTGTAAGCATAACACAGATTGAAAACCTTGAATCTCATCATCTCATCTGACATCTGAGCTAAAATCTTTGGGACCCATTAAAAATGTGATGCATGCAAGTAACATTAAAAGGTTTGTCATCACTTAACACAAACTTTCATTTTTTAGTTCATAGGAAATATTTTATTTAGCAGGCATACAGGATTTATATATTAAAAATATTATTATCCATTACAAAATGTGGAAGGCAAAGCAAGCATTTTTGTATTTCATACAAAATTCGGTACTCACTGCTCACAAAAGATGTTGGAAGGCAAAGGGTGCCAAAGGGAAAGCCAAGTATCTCTAGTCAAGGATAACTGAAAGATAGCTAGCAATTAAATGCAGAGTTAAAGACAATAGATTTCCTAATAATTAGATTATTTTCATTTTTTAAATAGTTTGCACAACATCTAAATCACTATTCTGCTAATAGTTGTGCTGAAACATACCAGAAACATAAGCCCCTGTTTATGAAACTTTAGGATCTTTACTTGTAATACAACTCCTCTTGTAGCTCTCCAATAATCTTGTATTTACTTTTGTCTTAACTGACATGATGTATGAAGTTTTAAGTGTGTTTTATTAACTTCATAACATGGCATTATGTCAAATGCACTCAGTATCTACTGATAGTATCTAACTCAGTGAACTCATGTAATATCAACTTACATCTGATGTACCCTTTTACAGAAGAAAAAATGGTAACTCCCTCTATGTTTTATTTTCTTACCTTTACTTTTTTTTTTTACAGATATTGTTATGTAGTGCTAATGTATCTTAATATCGTACTTAGAATTTTAAACATTATCATAAAATCCTCTGTAACACTAACGGTTTCTGGGGGATTCTTTTTAATTCATATTTTTGTATTATTATAGTATATTATCATTATTTTTAATATTATAAAATTCTGTCATGTAATTACAGTATGTACTGATTAACAGACTGTAGCAGATTTTAAATATGCTTTGTTATTTTCATTTTCAGAATCCTGCATGTAGTTCATTAGAATCTTCTCATTTTTTTTCTGCTTTCATAGGTATTTATTAACTTTTACAAGAAACGAATTGATTATGATGCTTTTAAGGCCATAAATGATGCTTTTCTGGTATACGATGGGAGACTTGTCATTGATACTACGTTCCACACAAGTGATCCAACAATCCGGGCTGCAGGTCCACTGACCAAATTTGCACGACGTTACCATGCAGACCAGTGGACTCACAGCAATTTCAACTCCAAAGAAGTCGGATTCCAGCTGGCTGCTGCCATCCTCCCCTTCTTTGACCCGACACTGGAGTGGGTGGCAGATCCCCCTGTAGAGTTCGACAGACTTATCCCCATGTTCAGAGGGGCGAAAGTCCAAGGCAGGTGTTTTTTTCCCCTCCAGATAGCAGTGCAGGTGCACATCTGTATAGATCCTGTATTTAAAGCATCAGGGGACTGCTTTGTTTTACATGAAGTATTACCTGCAAATGGGCGGTACTGTGGCACAGTGATTAGCATTGCTGCCCCTCAACATTGGGGGCCTGATTTCAAATAGCTTATATCTGTACGTTCTCGCCATGGTCATGTGGGTTTCCTCTAGGTGCTGCTGTTTCCTCCCACAGTCCAAAGACATACTAGGGGGTTAGCTGGCTTCTGGGAAAACTGACCCTGGTGTGAGGGTGTATTTGTCTGTGTGTCTCCCCTGTCATGGACTGGTGTCCCATCCGGGGTGTATCCTGCCTTGTGCCTGTTGGCTTGCTGGGATAGGCTTCAGCACCCCTGGGACCCCGTATATTATTAAGTGCTTAGAAAAGGGTGATAGATTATCTCCAAGTTCGTGGACAACTTTTCCCAGCTTCCCTTTAAAAGACAGTCAGGAGTCTGTCTCAGAAGTGAAAATAAGTTTTTATTTCGTACCCATGGGAGCAAAACTCACAGAGATGCTCGGTGTATTTTTCTCAATGTAATTAAACTAGAACAGTCCTTAAAAAATGTTCCGTTATCTATCATGCTTCTCTGTGCTTACAGGATTGGCAGTGTTCCAAAATCACACACAACTTCCTACTTCCCTATTTGCTAAAGATAACTTGATTTAATACAATTGGTTACTTAGGTTGGCAGCACGCATTCCTATATAACCGTATAGAATGACATAGTAGCTCTAGTGTCCAGCATTCTTCCAATACAGTTCAAACCAGTTCTGAATGTCCACCTTATAAAAAAGTGCATCTTCTGCAGGAAAAGTGTGCGCAAAATTCACAGGGACCCTCTCTACAAAATTAAATACACTATAGAAGTAATATTACTAAAAAGCCCTGTTCTAAACACAGAGCAGATATACTGTATAGGGTCAAACAAATTT